CTGAGGTATGCAAAACTTGAGCACGCCCCCCACCCTACGCCGAACGCCGTGATTGGGCTCGCTGTTTTCGGTGTGCCGCCCGGAAAATCAGGGTCCTTTCGAGCTCCAGCACGCCCTGCGACTAGAAGAGTGGGAGTACGATCGGCTGTGCAAGCATCTCGGGGATGCACCGGGGATACTAGATCGCCTGGGGGCGATGACGGGCCGAGGGACTGAGGATTCTTCCGCCGCCGTGACAGAAAGGGCGGCCACCGCTGTAGAAGGATGAGAGATGTACCGCTGTTGCAGCAGTAAAGGCCTTGTCTGCGAAGGGTTTTTGATGCGTTAGTGGTTGAGCATGGGGGGCCAAGTGCGCAGTGCGCATGGTTCAACCCCGGTGTCAGTCTCTCTTCTTTTGTTTACGTCGACGGTATTGCGGTGACTTCGGCAATGACGGTGCAGTAGGGACAACTCGAGAGGGACGGAAAGAGAGAGAGAGAGAGAGAGAGAGAGAGAGAGAGAGAGAGAGAGAGAGAGAGAGAGAAGTTCCCCCTGTTTTTGCCGCCTCAGCTCGCGGGAACGAATGGAGAATCTTGCTCTGAGTTCACGGTAGGAGATAGGATGTGAAACGTGCTCTACTGTAAGCGTGTAGTGTCACTGTCGCCAATCCTGTCCACCCCCATTTAAGAGTCTGGGATGACTGGTTGGATTGATTTGTTGTACGAGGTGTCTCTGGAGTATGACCAATCATGGCCACAATACAACACGTCGGGATATTTTCAGCTTTGATTGAAAACTGTATAATCTAGGGGCTGGCCAGGCGCTCTTCGCGAATGTTGCCGGCGGGTTTAGCGCATCATCGAGAACCGGGGGATACGTTCCAGCTCCTGCCTTTGTCAAAGCTGGAACCCCCGCGATTTATCTTGTTCCTTTGACATCCGGCCGCCATATTGTCGGAAGTCTGCGTACAAACTTGTTCTGAGCCATCGACTGTCAGCAAAGAGTCCAGCGCGTGTGTTCTCATCCCGCCTCCACGTTTCGGCGTATGCATGTCGGCATACCACCCAGGAGAGGTGTCGTAGAGGTGTTTCGTCCTCTGGTCTCCAACTTTCGTCCCTCTTCCTTAAGTTTTTCGCGAGAAGGGTTCAGCCGGCGCGATTGCGCGACTTCCCTCCTGAAATGAAAGGAAAAAAATCGGAAACGCCGTCGGTGCTCGGTGTGCTGCACGAGAAACTGTGGGGGGATGTCCCCCATGGTGAGCCTGCTGTAGGACTTCCGATCAGTCTCGCTTTTCATTACGTGGGATAGTTCACTACCATGCGAAGAGCTGTTGAGACGCGCGCCGCTTGTAGCCAAGGTCGCGATAAGTCGGTTAGACTAAGCGACTACGTAAATGACCTGAGATATTGCGGTGGACTGATCTTCATTACGAGAAGTAGCAGTGAAGAAGTAGCAGAGAAGTACAGTAGCAGCATGACACAGATTTATAGGCGATCGGCATTCCCGAGACCCCTGGGTACAGGGCGCCTCGGGATACAGCAGTTCTCCTACACCCACTCTTTTTCGACGCACACACCACTCCCCAAGCGCTGCGTCGAGGCCTCTCGTACAAAACTCACACCATACTGTATGGAGGCACATTTCAAGGCATAGTGCATAGTGCGGTAATGGTGTGCTGTGCTTGAGCGGCTTCCTTTTCATGCGACTCTCGTCAGGTGGAGGTGGTGCAACGCATCGCAGCCTCTCATTGTTGTGTTCATTCTATGTACCTGGTACCCTTTTCGTATCACGTTCTCTGACTGAATAATGATGATGAATTTCAGACGCTAAGGACACACTGTCTACAGTATTGGCCTCTGCTCTCCTGGGGTTCTTGCATTCTTTTTCATTCGGAAACTGAGTAACCAATTACAGCTTGTGTTTGCGCTCGTTCTCGCTCTCTCGTCCCAATGACAGTGTTTATCGTTCACTGCCAGCAAACGAGCCATCGTTTTTGAATGAATCATGAATGAATCCATATTCTTACCGAATGTAGTGGACGGCTGTCAATTCTACCCCGCATGTATACGTACGCAAAAATCTCGTTTTCGTACTCGAGACTGACCGGAAAGGCTTCCCCCCGATGGTTTTTCGTGCAGCACGCCGACGGCGTGTTTTTTCCCGATTGCTTCATCGTGTGGGGAATTCACACAATACAATCGCGTAATTTACCACCCCTATGCGGTGCAGTTGGCTTGTGACCACGGAAGCAAGGCATCAGCGTCAGTTGGACCAGTACCGACGGACATTAGAAGGCACTGAGTGGAGACCGGAACGGTTTTAGTTGTGAAGACAACAACAACAACAACAACAACCACCCGCTTACTACTCGGACGCGTGCGTGTGTTTTACCTCTCGGGCTAATTAATTAACTAAGTGCGGAGTACAAAACAACCTTCCATATAGATAGCCGCGTGAGCATTCTGTGGTGTACGGCACCACGGAGGACGTGGGAGGAGGTGGTTATTATTTGCGTTCGAAAACCTGGATGACACCCAAAGCGCATTCTGCGTCGTTCGCGTACCGTGTAATCATCCACCAGGCAAAGCTATTCGAGGTAAGCAGGATGAAAGTCGACGTGGGAGGGCAGCAGCCCTGACTGGTAGAAGGGAGTGAAATAGTGAAGGAAGAAACGCGCGCCGTGCGTTCCAACGAAATACTTGATCGGTGAGAACCAATGAAGTCAAGGATCCATCAACAGGAACGAGTGCCGACCACGAATAAACCAACTGCTGCCTGGTGGCGTCGTTGACCCGGTGACAAACACGGGTATACCCCAGGATGAATGGGACGTGGCAGGGTCAAAGAAACTTGACGCCGCCCAATCAGGAGGGCTCGTTTGAGGCTGCCAATATAGTGCGTACCTCCAGCTGAGTGGGGCGCTTTTCGATCAGGGTAGACCTTGCGTCATTCGCCCAAAACATATAATCGTTATTCTATCACTGCCTTCCAGCACGCCCACGCCCACGCCCACCACCACCATCACCAGCACACATACAAACGAGGACCCCCCCTCGTTATTTCCTCGTTGTTCCCCTTAAAAGACTCACACAGCAGTCATCATCACCCCACATCGTCTAGAAAAATCTCTCGAAGCCTCCCCTTCCCAACACCATCCTCTCCCGCCCTCTCCTCTCTCTCCAAAAACAGCAGTTACACGGTATCGGTACAAGAAAATAAAACGCCGCCTTTCCTTCCTGCCTCTAGCGGGGAAAATGCCTCCTCCTCTTTCCAACATCTTGTGTGGCACGCACAAACAAGCAAGTAACTTTTTAGTCCAAGCAACGTACATACAACAAACTTGACTAGACGTGAAAAAGTACGACAACGACGGTATTGTAAATGACACGTGCACGTAGATACTAGTGGCTGAGTACGCGTGTGTCCTGTTTCGTGGAGTGAAAAACACCAGCACGCATAAGAAGAGCTGAATGTGTTACAGGTCCACGGGGCAAAAAATGAAAAGTCTCGCTGCAGTACTACACGAGATGCGACTCGACATTTGAAACTGAACGCACATCAAGTAAGGCAAGAAGGACACGTCAACCAACAAACAACACTCGAGAGCGAGAAACAACACCGGTTCCGTGACATCATCCCCCCTCCCCCCCCCCGCAAACAACGAACACTCAAAACTCAAGACAACCACGAACAACAAACCAACCCGTCCAAATACACGCGCTGCCTCTTCCGCCCCTCAAGTCACCTTCCGCTACCCGGTAAAAATCCCAGTTGAATAGGATAGCTACCAGAGAGTCGTTGTGTTTACGGCTTTCCGCCCGAAAACGTCCGAAATCCCAGCAGGAACCAGCACTTTTCCAGCGTGCCGGCGCAGACGGAACAAACGAAAAAAAAAGAAGGCGATACCGCGCGATCGCATCCGCGACCCCCCCCCT